CAGTGTTGCTTCGTCATCATCTTCGTCTCCAACCTCTCCAAGACCTGCAGTTTCACGGTCACCTTCAGAATCTCCCGAAGTACCCTTTCGACCGCCCTCTTTTGATAGGGACTGGGAAGTAATGAACTACTGCTTTTCTGTAGTTTATGTTGCAATAGTTTATAGATTGATACAGAGACCAACAGTTGTTTTAGAATATTGCATTGTAAAGTTCACATTGAGGTCATTAGAAAAGAAAGTATGTTCTTTTTCCTAGTAAATCTTGGAAAGGGCTTCACTTTCACTACAAAATAAGAACATCTACCCTTGTTACTGAAAGAGCTCATATCACATTGAAAAGAGGTCGGTAAGGTAATCAATCAATGAAAATAGTTTACTGTTATTTTGTCCCACAGATTATTATGTCGTGCATAAGTAATGTTACTCATGACTTTTTTAAACTGTTGCAGGTTGCAGTAAATAGAGTCTTGGTCACAGACCCCTCTAGGTTTGTGGGCGACCTATTACTTTCAAAGTTCGGAAAACACTATCTCCGAAACCACAGTTTCAAAGGTATCCGTAGTAGTCATCCTAACAGTCGGGAAAAGTCACCAAAGCCTGCAATGCCGAATGATACCTTTATGTGTGTTCGCTGTAAGTATTCACCATTATTTTTTCTCAGTTCTGTTACAATTTTTATATCCCCACCATATATTGCTTGGTCATATAGTGTTACCCTTATCGGTCCTCAGATTGTAGGGACTTTTGAAGTTGAACATAGATGAAATTGCCCACATTTTGCCGATATTCAACCCTTATAGGGTGTATAGCTTCATCTGAAAAACTCTAGACAAAATTCAGTGAACTTTTGTAAGTGCCCTCTTTTCTAAGAAGTATGAAATCCCAATTTGAACTATTTTTTACAAATTGTGGCTTTTGAAAATGGGTGAAATTCGTCAAATTGTATCTGGTCTTTTTGTGTTGATATTTTCAGTTACAATGTTAACATGATCTTCAAAACAGTAATGTTTCTCTTTCTTAAGTCAAAGTATGTTCAGTTTATCGATACGTCTCATTAGGGGCATATGAAGTATTTAAGAAAACAAGTATTATTGATACCACCATGTGACCATGTTAACATGCCCAATTATGGATTGCATTATGTTCCCTGTACTCACTAAACAAAACTAGGAGTGTTCCATAGTAAACTTATAATAAAACTTAAATGATTCGGCCTTTGGAGTGATTGTCAACTGCAGCACTTAAATAACTGTATGAAAATAAAGCTGAAATCATTTTAAGTTCACAATTCTATTGGAAGTTTACTATGGGATAATTAATTGGTAACCTGTAGCTCTGTGTAGCTAACATAAGGAGCATGCGTACTTTCTTTTCAGTAACATATATATTTCTTTCCTGCAGATGCAGTCAGACAGCGTTTTCCTTATGATGTGATTCGAGATGAGAAGATCAAAAACACCATTAAGTCAAAGTTAAACAATTGTTCCCGATGAGCCAGCATATCCACTAATGGGTGCTATTTCTCATTTATTATCCCCAGCAGGGATATATATACTTATACTTGTTTGAATATGGCATGCCTGGTCTAAAACAAATTTAATTATTTGTAGGAAGTTCAGCTATATTTACGGTTCCGAAGTTTTATATTTGGAATTTAGTCAATATAGTGGAGTCTATAGTTACACTATTATTCAAACCGGAGTGTAGTTGTCATTTTTCTGACAGATTTCCAGGTGTGGCATCATTTTGATTTTTATGACAAAACTTGATTGTTTCTGTAAGATTCATTATTTTAAGGTTTATATTTTTGTTGGAGATATGGACTTGTATGTTTAGCTGAGTAAGGCGTCCTTTTAGTGATGCTGAACTGGCTGGATATGATCCTGATTAAACATCATCCGATTTTCTGTGATGATCACTTTATTTAAGTGCAAAGTACTGGAGTTAATTTTTTTTTTAGAGATTTGGACTTGTATGTTTAGCTGAGTAAGCTCCGATTTTCTATTGATATTTCAAGGATCTGATCTGATTTTCTATTGGATCACAGATCGGTTGATGGAGACTCAAGTTCAAACTATTTGCCAGTAAGACTGTGTTTTTGTGATTGCTGCATGATTTAAGACAAGTATTTACAAAAACCAGATGGAAAATCATGTAAATGCCATCATGCTGCACCATAAGATAAAATATTGTCAATAAGAGTCTAAAGTGGTCTAGAAAGGTGTGAAAAAGTTAAATATTGGCCAAATATGGCTTGACTGTGAAGGTAAAGTAACCCATGTTGGAAAATTTTCATGTAACCAAGACTACTCTTATTTTAAAGTTCAATCATTTTCCTCAATGTTTTTTTCATGGTTCCAAACTTGTTATTGATGTGGGCATGTTTTGGAAGGTCTACTCAGGTTAGCTCAGTGGTTAGAGCGTATGTCTTCAGCCTAATACATGTACAAGATTTATACCTGAAATTGACTGTTTGGTAAATAATGTGGCATTATTTCTAAGATAAAATCACATTGTTAAATTTTTACTTCAGTTCAGAAATAAATTTGATTTATCACAGTGTACATGTAACAGTACATGTGTTTAACGAAATACTCTGAGGTCGCCGTGAATAGCTGCAAAATTGCTCAAGCTGTGTAAGGCAATAACTCGCTGATTATTTGGATCATCTATTAATAAAAGACAACACAGTTACAAAGTGGTTTATTTTAACTGTTTTGTAACAAAAACAGAACACTTGTTTTTGGTCCTCTGGTTCATTTTTATTTAAACAATACAATGTGTCGTTCACAGTGGACAAATAACATAAAAACTATTCTTGACCAGTCCAATTATAATTTTAATCATGGTTCTATTAATCTGAAGAGCTGACTTTGAGTTTGAATATATGAGATGTGAATTTGATTTTTGTTTTACTCTCTGGTGTATTCTGTCCATGTTATAAACCAGTACTGAAACGTTACTTTCATGTCAAGTTTCAAAAAGGAAGTAAAATAATAAATACATTCAGGGTGTTCTTTGTTGTTGTTGCATTTTGATGGTTAAATGAAATGGCTTTGTTTCGGGATGATGGGGGTGGGCTGATTTGGGCACGCATATTAATTATTAATGACTCTCATGATACTCAGTAGCTTAAGTCCCTGTTTCCATTGATGCAGTTCACATAGTGGTTTCGGTTTACATTGAGGGAGGCTGTTTAAATGTGTATACCAGTGTATGAAATTCTACTGTGTACCTCGGTGTACCCCTAACTGCTATGCAAACCCTGTCAACACAGCATTGCACTATTTTACTACATTAGCGGCCCTGTGGTTCAGAAAACAGATTGTACTACATGAACTATAATACTACAATATAATAACTGTGCCTCCAGTGTAGTTTAACTACAGTACTTCAATATGATAACTATGCTTCCAGTGTAGTTTTATTACAGTAGTAAAAACCATAGTAAGGCAAAAAACGTCTCAATGTACTGTAGTTGACTATAGTGGATCGAGTGTAGTAGTAACTATGTTTAAACACTATAGTTCAACAATAGTATAACTGTGCTTTTCAGTGTAGTTTAACTACAGGACTACAATATGATAACTATGCTTCCAGTGTAGTTTAACTATAGTAAAACAGTAGTAAAAACCATAGTAAGGCAAAAAAAGTCTCAATTTACTGTAGTTGACTATAGTGGATCGGGTGTAGTAGAACTGTGGTGGTAATGTAGTAGTAACTATGTAAAAACTATGGTTTTACTTATTAATTTTCAACTGTAGTTGGTACTGTTACTTCAGTTACTTCACTTCAGAACAACTCCAGAGACTGCAGTATTTGCACTGTAGTTACTACTGTAATACTGCAGTGTTATTTTTGCCTGGGATATATATATATAAACTAAGTATAATAAACCCCTCTGTACAGTAATGGAAAGTAAATGTATGTCTGTATGCTTGATGTATGTTGGTAAGTGCAGGTGTATAAGTGTTGTATGTCTGATATGAGTGGGGTACAATGTGTGAAGCCCATTTCTTATGTCCCCTGCCGTGATATTGCTGGAATATTGCTGAAAGCGGTGTAAAACCATACTCACTCACTGATATTAGTGGCTGTTGTACTATATATTTTTATACACTATTTTACCATAGGATATCACTTGCATATAGTATTCTGCATTTGTATTTCTTTATTATGTAGATTTGTCAGTGGAAACGTTCACCGTGCAATCATTGTTACCGGTATTACCAGTACAGGTTTCACCTATCTGGTATGTAATGTCATCTTAGATATTGTATAAATATTCTATCTTTCATTATTTGTAGTTCTTACCAAAGTTACATACAGTATGTTCAATATCACTTTATTGTCATATTAATATATTTTGTATCTGTGTATTGATGAATTGTACGGATACGTCTGATGTATTGTGTAATGTAAATTAAGTGTTATTCATTTATGGAAGTGATATTTTAGAAATGTAAAGAGTAACTATAACGGATTGTATTTATTTATTTCTATGTTATATTTGCTTATATTGTACTTTCATTGTTTCAGGCTGAATTAAATATGTATGTACATTTGTACCTACCAATAAAATAAACGTCATTAGCCTCACCCTCCCCACAGCTCTTTGTGATTATTTGGCCAGTAGATTGCCTACTCTACTATCGGCAAACACAACAACGGTTACATGTTTTTTGTGTGAAAGGGCATATTAATATGCTATATACCTGCTTTTAATTTTATTTTGACCTACCAGAATCAAGCATTCTTCTTTGCCATGGTAGAATTACTGTTTGAAGAGATTTTAAATATTCTACCTGGAAATATTCATATCATGATCAATTGATCTAATAAAGTTTGATTGGAGGTAGGATTCCACTGAGATGAGGTGACTGTTCACTTGGACCTGTGGACCAGATGATTAGAAACTCAAAATTAGCAGGAGCAGGTTGCTCTATTTTGAGAATGTTAACAAACACACAGACAACAACTGAGTTTGTAAGGTCAAATACCTGTGAATTGCCTGGAGAAACTTTCTTTGATGTGACCTCACACGACTGCCATTCACTTTTTTCACCAATTTGGTGTATTTGTAAATTAACCAAGTTTCACGAAGTACATTGGCTGCAGCATTCTTTAGCTATAAAAGACAGTAAACAAAATAATCAATTAGCATATCAACTGTATGATGCAATAGATACATGGAGAACAATTCGAGGCAAGAAGGCGTTGCTCACCAGGTACATTCTAAGTAAGATAACATAGTGCCACAGCAGTGTAGCTCACCTGGATATATAGTCAACAGTTTAACAGGCAAGAAAGACTGCCACTTAACAAAGAATGCCAGCATTGATATTAAATATTTTCTGCATAAATACTGAGGACTAAGACTTAACTCAAACATCTTATGTGACAGGGGATAAAAAGAGGTACAAGATCATAGTTGAACAGACAATACAGTGATTGATATTATATGCAACAATCCACCGGGGCACACTGACTCGTCATCAACCAACTCACCAAGCAGGACCACCCAATCCACTGAGTCACCTCTCACAACCAGTGTCAGCTGCAAGGGATCCTACTAATTTGGAATCCCCTTGGGTTCCTAATATATTACTTCTTATGAAAAGCAATGAGATTGTGAGTCATCATTAGTGTCACTGCTGGTGTCATTTGTGGTTGCACAGATCTTGACCTTAAACAACTGCACCCTAAGCCTGATATGTACGAAGTTATTGTTGGGGGTCACAGCTGGTCATGTTGTCAAAAACCAGACTTTGCTGTGTAGAACTGCATCCCTTAGGCATGCCAGAAAAGTATGTATGTGGGTTTGAATCCCAGATTCACCTTGATTATTGTCTTTAGGTTTGTCAGCACCATGCATACCTTTGACTTCCTTCATACTGTCAAAGTGGAAAACTTCTGAGACCTGCATCACTTCGGGCTTTCCTCCCACATTAAGCTGACACGTCGCAATATAACTGGAATACTGTTAAAAGCGGCATTAAACCCAACTCACTCACTCACACTGACTAAATGTGTTGGCCATAAAAAACAATCAATTTGTGCAGAAGTTATCAGCAGGGGGAAAAAACACCATTTTAGCTAATTAAGAAGGGATATATGAAAGAGTCTTACCCTCTTTGTAAGCTGAGTATCCATCATGAAATTATGAACATGTTTCTCTGCTCTGCTCAGTTCAAGCTTTCTTGCAATGACAGCAACAACAAGTGCTGTGCATCCAGCACCCTGGAAGAGAAGAATAGTTTGGTATAACTCTTTGATAACGTGAAAGAGATCATTGTAATATAGAATAGGGCCACAGGATCTGTAGCTCACCAGAATTAGGAAGAAAAAATATAAGAAACTTCAAATATCCACACCACCTTTGCAAAATTCATGCAATGGACAGGAAAGAAACAATTATTTTCGCATCAATGCCTACAAAAACCTTGAATTTTCTTTTAGCCATTATCAATCAAACAAAGTTTCATCTTTCTGCACCTTGCAGCTCTTGGAAATTAGATTTGAGAGTCCCAATCAGTGCAGATCCCTCATTGGTGTAGGTCCCTTGCCCTTGCATCTACTGACACAGCAATGAGTATTCTGCCTTTGACCGGCAAAGGTTAACTGAAACACAAATCAGCCAAAATGCTGACCTGCTGTCCCTGCACAACTTGCTCAAACTTGTTCAACTGTTTTTTCCTTTACCAAACACTTACTGCCATGGTTGCCATGCAATACATTCACCACATTAGGTCTGAACTTACAACCAATTTTAGATTGAATAATTACCCCAAGCAGGAGAAATGATCTGCAATTGCTGTTCCTTTCGTCTTGCTTTCTCCAATGATCAAGATGTCATTGGTTACTTGAATGATCCATGTAAGTCTTGAAGTGCCTAGTCTACACACAACTGAACAATTTCAGGTGCTAAATGATAACTGCAGCCAAAGTTTCAAACATTTTGAGGTAGCTAGATTCCTCCTCAAAAACAATGTGAAACAGACATTTTTAGGTAACATTTTGAGTCTGGCTTCTTATAGATCAGGAAGGATGATACTGGTTTGTGAACACCTGGTGTCATCATTTATATTCATATAATTTTTGCCACTATTCTGCCTTTTATGCCCAATGGAATGTGTTTCATCAGATAATCAAGATTGGTTATTCTCTGGCATCAACGTTTTATATTCCATCACCTGGAGAGGGAATGACTCCTCTTCAGAGTCTGGTTAAGTGGCTCCAGGCCGATGCATGTATACTGATCTGATGGCTCATTCATAATCACAGTCGGAGTATCTGCAGGTGTTATTCATTATTCCAGTCTCTCAAGTTCCCACTTCAAGTCTCTTTTCATAGCATGAGGAATTTTCCCAAGGTGTTGCTTCACAGGTGCAAAATAACGATAAATTTCCAGTGTTTATATCGCTTGAAATACACCAAAATCTTCACAACATTGAAGACTAGAGTAGTTTAGGGAATGACAGTTCTAGCTCACTTCCACTGGAGCAACCCCTTTACTGCTACTACAGAGGGAAATACTTATGCAAACACCAGGGTGCGATTCAATGATCGTCATGAGACTACGCTAAATTGTAATGAAAAGTGCTCTAGCTCACCACCACCTGAACCATTGCTGAACCCTATCAATGCTTATATATGATATAATTTTTTATAGGGAATGACAGTTCTGGCTCACTTCCACTGGAGCTAGATTTACCCCCCTATACTGCTACTACAGAAGGAATTTTTTATGCAAAAAGGACAATGCAATTCAATGATCGTCATGACTCGTATTAAAAGAAACATCAATATTAATTAATAATGGACAAAATTTACTATAGCCTGCAAGGATATTGGAAAGGTATAGGAGCAATACAAAAATTAGCCACTGCGGCTAAGGTATATAAAGATGTGGCCAAGGATTGGTTTAAGAAACAAGCAATGTGGCAAATATACTTACCAGTCCCGTGTTATCTACCGAGGAAGAAGTTTGATATTTTTACAACGGATGAAGTTCATCAGGCTGACCTCTTGTTTCTTCCCCATGATAAGGTAAGATGCAAAACGTATAAATATGTTTTAACCGTAGTAGATGTGGCTAGTCGATACAAAGAGGCTGAACCATTAACCTCAAAAGATTCAACAGAAGTAGCTTATGCACTGTGCACGGTCAGATTACCGCTTTTGATGCATTGAAACGAACTTTAGCTGCTAGAGAATGGATACATATACTGAACCAAATAAAAAACTTCACAATCCTAAAATTGTAACATTTTGACCAGTTATCATTGTGGGCCCTTATTGTGTATTTAAACAGTAATGGCCACATATTGTCTTCAGATAACACCCGTTTTTGTGCAGGTGAATCAATCAAAATCGTGTGCACACTACTATAGTGGCAAAAGTGGTTTTTCACGTGCAACTGGTCACGTGGCCATAATACCGCACATGTTTTCAGGCATACTTGTTAGCAGTCAATAACAAAAAAAGAAAAACACAAGAAAACAAAAGTCTTTACGGCCATTTGTCATGCCACGCCTTTCAAATGTGCAACGTGAACATGCCATCGGCATGTAGCAGATGGGAACGTCCGTAGCTGAAGTCGCAAGGACGATTGGTTGTAGTTGACATACTGTTTATGATTTACAGACACGTCTACAGCAAACGGGTACCACCGCTGATCGCCCTCGACCAGGTCGACCACGTGGGACGTCACATGCAGAGGATCATCAGATTGTCTTACGTCACCTCCGTAACCGATTTTTGACAGCTACATCAACCAGAAATGAACTGTTTAGGGGTAGACTGAGTGCGCAAACTGTTCGAAACCCTCTGAGAACTGCTCACCTTCAAGCATGACGGCCATACAGCGGGCCGATTCTGACTCAAGTACACAGACGTCAACGTAAATTGTGGGCATAGTGACACTTATGATGGATTTAGAGGAATTGGAATCAAGTCGTCTTCAGTGATGAATCCCGATTTAATCTTCGATTTGCTGATGGTAGGGCGAGGGTGTGGAGGCGCCGTCATGAACGTTACGCCCAGTGTTGTGTACAGGAAGTTGACAGATTTCGAGGCGGAAGTGTCATGCAGTGGGGTGCTTTCTGTGGCAATGCACATTCCAGGCTTCTTGTCATCCGTGGCAACCTCAACGCTGCTGCTTACCGCGACCAGGTACTGGCACCAGAACTTCTGCCATTTATGGCAGCACATGGACCCGGTTTGATCTTCCAACACGACAATGCCAGACCCCACACAGCAATTTTGATAAGGAATTTCCTTCAGAATGCGGGAGTCAACCTCATGGACTGGCCGTCAAGGTCTCCCGACCTCAATCCCATCAAACACGTCTGGGATGCTCTTTGCAGAAGTCTGCGCACTCTCCAGAACAAACCACAGAATTTGCAAGATCTTGGCACTATTTTGCAGCAACAATGGCCTCGTCTTCCCAATCATGTGTTCACAAGCATCACAATGTCCATGCGGAGGCGTTGTGTGGCAGTTGTCAACCCACATGGTGGCCATACACACTACTGAACTTGTGTGCCATCAGATTCTCGTGCTTGGGACTTATGATTTAAACTCTTGATGTTATTACCGAATACCATAGGTGCTTGGAACAAATTATGGTTACCACCGTTAATTAAATTCCTTCTTTGGACATTAATGATTAAAAATTACCTTCTCTGATACATTTGTCCGTTGTATATCATATATGGGATTACTTTTAAAAATGTGAAGTTTTTAATTTGACTCAGTATATATTAAAAATGCCATACTTTGACTTGTTAAAAGTCATATTTGTGGCAATTTGGCTAATATATGTTAACATAACGCTATCGCAATCGAAATACATGTAGCACGGGAAGTCCCTAGGGTGACTGGTCAAATTGTTCCATACGTATAAATATCCAGCGACAGCAATCACCAGTACCAAAATGCTACACTTGTGGTTCTTATAATTTTAAATATATATATATAGAAAAGGCTGCAACTAAGGTAACACAATAGTGGAATATATTATTCCTGATAAAACAATATGTTCAGATACAATTTCTTCAACCATTGCATCAAAATTTTTTGAAGTTGTATCACTGGTGGAGTACATTATTTATTTTCTGGTGTTTGAACTTTGAATTGTTTTGAAGGAAAGTTAGAGAAAGTTCCACTTTGAAGCTGAACAACTTCAGTAGTCTTGTTATTATAAAATAATTTTGACTGTTCCAAAATCATGAAAGGTTCAATCTTGACATGCTTTAAGTCTTGTTTTTTTTATCATTGCATATCGAGATATGTATCGTATTGTGACCAGAATATCGAGATGCGTATCGTATCATGACCTTCCTGTATCGTTGCCACCCTAATTCTTTGTTATCTTAAAGATGGGCTGGGCAGGGGATTTGTACAAGAAGAGTTGCTCATTGTTCCCAACGATACAGTATTACCGCCATAACCATAAGCATAGGTAGTTACACCCTCCTTATCAATCCATCTCTTTGTATCAAATGTCAAATTTATTATTTTAGTTTGTGCACAAACAACTAGTACCTTAGCTGCAGCTTCTTGTGCTTTAAGTATCCTACAACGTCGTATATTTTATTATGAACTGTCATCACTTGTACATCATACTCCATGTTTCTGCTATGGATCAGGTTACACTTTACCTATCCCACAATCCAATACTTTGTCGGCAACGCATGTGCAAACCTATGCTTCTGACGTCACTCATTAAAGCCTATTTAACCCTTCACTCACCATCCGCTTGTTCTCGTTTCTCTCAAAGCCATCTTGTTTATGCTTCTCATCATCGGCCTTAATCTCGATGTTATTTTGACATCCATTCCCGTATCGTGTTGCCTATTGTCCTACTCTGGGCCAACATGTCTGCCAGCAGAGGGAAACAACCCCTTTCGTCTAGACGACCTCGTAAAGGCAAAAGTGTCAGCGGCTCAACTTTGACCCCAGATCACAACAAACAAGATGGCGACCTCACACCTCGCTCCAGTCGACCTAGCCGGGCAACCCCCCCGTATTTGACTGCGGCTGACCTGAGAAACCGACTATCACAGCTGGGAATGAAAGTGCCTACATCGTGGACTCGGAAATTCCTCCTTCAGCTTTACAACGAGAATGTATCAAGCGGCAGATTAATCGAAGCGACCAGTGACACCCACGATACGACACACGAGGCTCAACATGATAACCTTCATCACCAGCCATCAACGAGTGCAGCTAGCAGT